TCCTACTTCCGTAGTGATACTGCCTCGGAAACCCAAGGAGGGGTCACTATGAGTCGGGGCCGACTCGATGGCAAATAACAACAACAACAACAACTTCTGTAAAGATTTATTTACAGCCTCAGAAACCCAATGGGGGTTGCTAGGAGTCTCAATCAACTAGATGGCAGCAAGTTTTTTTTTTCTTTTTGGTTGAGGCCCAAGAGGAAGGAGCTCTGGTGGTGTAGTGGTTAAGGCACTTGGCTGCTAATCAAAAGGTCAGTGGTTATAACCCACCAGCGGCTCCACAGAAGAAAGATGGGGTAATCTGCTTCCATAAAGATTTACAACCTTAGAAGCCCAATGGGAGGTCACTATGAGTTAGAATAGACTCTTGGCAGAGTTTGGTTTTGAGAGGGCCAAGAGGAGGGCAAGTGAAACTTGCAACACTTTATGGAGGCAGACATCTACTCCAGACAAAAGTGGAAGTAGATTAATTTATAAATTGATATTAATCAGACCTTTCCTTTGCCAGATGCCCAAAGATTCTCAGTCCTCTGTTGACAGGGCACCAAAAAGCCTTCTTTATGCCCTACTCAAGCAGATAGAAGAGGCTGGGCCTATCCAACAATCATTTTAAATAAAGTACCCTCCATTTTTGCCTAGATTTATTCTCACTTATTGATGCAGATAGGTTAATGAATCCAAAGAATACAGCATTTGGGGGAGTGAGGGGGAGGCCCAGGGACCTAAAAACCCAGAAAACTAGAAAGAGAATGGATTCTTTTGGCATCTGTAGTGTCATGTGCAGAGGAATTGTACAAACCAGGGGCCTCTGACAGTAGAGCTGAATGGGAGAAGGGGGTTCAGCCCATGAAGGGAAACAACCAGAGTCTGCCTGTTCAGACTGCACAGTGTGCTGTGTCATCCGCCAATTGGGAGAGGCCTGTAGCTCCACGACGAACTAGAAGACTAGTCCCCCAAAAGGCAGACTACAGGAAGAAGGTGAGAGGGGCCCCGGCGTCCCCGGAGCCCCAGACCTCCGAGACAGGGGCTGCGGGGGACACTTGGCAGTCACTCCGCCCTCCTGCCCCAGCCCTTAAGCGGCCCATTCCTCAAGTGGTTGTATGCTGCCAGGACACGGTCCCATACCTGGGTGACCGAAAGCGGCCCAAAAGCACAAACAGGAAAAAGCGCGACCTGCGCGGAGAGCTCGGCCTTCGGCCTGGCTCCGTGTCGCACCTGTGGGGCCTGGGTGCACCACATAAGAACTGCCCGGCGTGGAGCGCACTCCAGCACCCTCTTACCCCTCTACAGCCTGCTCGCCTACCGATCTTATCTGGCGGGGGCCGCGGCTCGGCGCTCCCGGGGCACACGCAGCTACAGAGCAGCAGCCACAGCCCCAGAAGCGAGGAGAACAGTTCCGCAGTGGTTGATCCCATAGTCTTCCCAAGCATAGCACCCCACCCCGCGCGCCCTACACTCAGCCAGGCGCTGCACGATTGCGCACTCCGCCTGCCCCGCCCCCGGGCTGGGCTCGCCCCTCTGGCCCCGCCCAGGTCCTTCCCACGCCTCCAGGGTTCCCCCTGCCGCCCCGCCGAGCCCTGGACCCCTCGTTCCCTAAAGCCCACTCTCCTCTTTAGAATCACTGGCCCCTTATGATACTCCGCACCTTGATCGACTCTGTCCCCCAAGCCTGCCCCGCCCCTCCGAAGCCCACTCTGCTTCAGGGAGCGATCAAAGGCACATGAGGAGACACCCTAGCTCTCCTCTCTCCCACCCATCTATTGCGGTGGAACATCTTATTTCTTCACTAGTGCCCTCACCTGTCCCTTCAGTCTCTATCTCTTAGATAATTCATACTGCCGGTGGCTGGCAGAAACAGCTGCTGTTGTTGTTAGGTGCCATGGAGTTGGTTCCACTCACAGCGACCTTATGTACAACAGAAGGAAACATTGGGCGGTCCTGAGGCAGCCTCACAATCTTTGCTATAGGTGGGCCCATCCTTGCAGCCACTGTATCAATCCATCTCGTTGAGAGTCTTCCCCTTTTTCACTGACCCTCCACTTTACCAAGCATAATATCTTTCTCCAGGGAATGGTCCCTTCTGACAACATGACCAAAGTAGGTGAGAGGAAGTCTGGCCATTCTCTCCTCTAAGGAGCATTCCTGGCTGCACTTCTTCCAGGACAGATTTGTTAGTTCTTCTGGCAGTCCATGGTACTTTCAGTTTTCTTCACCAACACCACAACTCAAAAGCATCAACTCTTCTTAGATCTTCCTTACCCATTGTCCAGCTCTCTTATGCATATGAGGTGACTGAAAATACCATGGTTTGGGTTAGGCACACCTTAGTCTTCAAAGAGATATCTTTGTACTTCAGCACTTTAAACAGGAATGAGGGACATCATTGCTGATGTCAGATAGATTTTGGCTGAAAGCAGATGTTCTGGTTACCTAGTGCTGCTCTGACAAGAAATTATACCACAAATGGGATGGCCTTAACAAACAGGAGTTTATTATCTTGCAGTTTGGAGGCTTGAAGTCCAAGTTCAAGGTGCCAGGCTCTAGGGGCTGGGTGAAAGCCCCTCAACCTTGGGGTCCAGCTCTGCATCCTGCTCCCAGCCCACTGGAGCTAGAGACGTTTCTTCACTCAGACAACTGCTGGCTGCTGAGGCTGAGAAGCCCAGGTTGACAAGTAAAAAGGCACAGCCCCGATGTTACCAAACCACACAGCAGGCCATTAACTTAAGTCCATTGTAAGTCCCAAGGTCAGCAGAGCATAGCAGGCTGCTGAGCAACGAGAAGGCTACATGCAGGGTCCAAGCGTGCCATAAGCTAGAGACCATTCCCAAGGCTTCTCCTTATATACAGGAAGCAGACTACATCCTAAAGGCAGCTACTCGGTTGCTTGTGATAGATCCCACCATGGAGTTTATTGCCAATCTCATCACGGGGAATAACTACCACCAGCTGCCCAGGCACTCAGCCAGGCCCAGCCAAGTTGACACGAAAACATAACCACCACAGTTCCACCCTTTGTCAACTTGGCACCTGTACAGATCTTCAATGAGTGGTATCTGTATAGATCTCCACTGGGTGGCTCCAGTCCCCTAGTTCCTGAATGGTGACCTCACCCCCTTGGCCTGGCAGCCCCGTTCCTCTCCCTCTTGGGCATGGCAGCCCCTCTGACAGATCCCCAAAATGTGGAAACAGGAGTGGAGTGCATCCTTGACCCAAGACCCTGGCAGAGAGACCCCCGGATACGGCATGACAGACAGCAGGAGCAAAGCAAGAGACCGACATGAGAGACAGAAGGAGCAGAGACAAGAGAACCGGCATGAGACAACTACAGCCTTACCGGCCCACAGAGGAGAAAGCGTGATGCCTTTCGGTAGGCGGCTTCCTGGTGGAGTGGGTTGCCTTCAGGAGTTAATTGGTGAAGAGACTGGCACACAATGGAGTAGCAAGTCGGCCGGCCCACGGAGCAAAAAAACCCAGTGCTTTTTGGGCAGGAAGATTCCTAGCAGAGTGGGTTGCCCTCGGGCATTAATCGGCAGAAGCAGAGAGACCAAGGAAATGGAAGCAGAGCGGCCTCAGCCTGAAAGGGTAGGACCATGGCCTTTGGGGGTGGAACGATCACAGCTCCCTACGTTTCAAAGAGCCAGGCCTTCACCAACTTGGTTCTGGAGTGTGGGGCTGCTCATTCATGTGAGCCAGTGGGATGGAGCCATAGCCGCTGCCCAGGAGTGAGGAGGCGGGGCAGGAACTAGGGGACTGGAGCCACCCAGTGGAGATCTGTACAGATACCACCCATTGAAGATCTGTACAGGTGCCAAATTGACAAGGGGTGGCACTGTGGTGGTTATGTTTTTGTGTCAACTTGGCTGGGCCTGGTTGAGTGGCTGGGCAGCTGACAGTAGTTATTCCCCATGATGAGACTGGCAATCAACTCCATGGTGGGATCTACCACAAGCAGCTGAGTAAGCTGACTTTGGGATGTGGTCTGCTTCCTGTACATAAGGAGAAGCCTTGGGAATGGTCTCTAGCTTATGGCACGCTTGGACCCTGCATGTAGGCATGTTGTTGCTCAGCAGCCTGCTACACTCTGCCGACCTTGGGATCAGATGACTATGTTTTGAACAGCCAATCTGTTGAGGGGGTGTTTCCCTGGGGGTGTGGCCTGCTTCCAGTGTGTTTGTGGACATCCTGGGAAAAGAGACAGTCTTCTGTGGATCAGGATTCTGTTGTGCTGCCTACAACTGTCCGTGAGCAAACAATCCACCATTCGGCCTAGAGATCTTGGATTCGTCATTCGTTGGAGTCAATAGCCAGTATACTGCCTGCCAATCTTAAGCTCCTCAGCCCCTGCAGCTGCATGAGTTGGGAATAGATTCCAGCTTGACGTCTGTTTGCCAGCTTCTATAAGTGTATGAGCCATTTTCCTAAGATAAACTTCTCTTTCTCTCTCTATATATAAACTTAACTGGTTTTGTTTCTCTAGAGAACTCAGTCTAACACAACAGAGAGTACCAGAAAGATGTTTACTTGGGTTTTATTGCAAAAGCATTCAATTATGTGGATCATAACAAATTATGGATAACATTGAGAAGGATGGAAATTCCAGACACTTTTTTTTTTTTTTTTTTACCAAACTGGTAGGTAGAGAGGTGCAGATAGATATAGATATATGCGTATATGGCAGTTCAAACCCACCAGCCACTCCTCAGAAGGAAGGCTGGGCAATCTACTTCCATAGTGATACTGCCTCAGAAACCCAAGGAGAGGTCACTGTGAGTCAGGTCCAACTCGACAGCACATGACAACAACAATATATATTACAGTGTTCCCTCCCCTCCCCTCCCACCCCTATAAACCAACAAAGAAAGTTTCCTTCCATATATAAACCTTTCCATGATTTTTTACAATAATGAATTAATATAATATTTGTCCTTCTGTGATCGACTTATTTCACTCAGCATAATGTCCTCCAAGTTCATCCACATTCTGTGGTGTTTTGCAAATCCTACATTATTCTTTAGGGTTGCATTGTATTCCAATGTGTGTATGTACCACACAGAGCTCTCATGGTGTAGTGCCTAAGTCATTTGACTGCTAACCAGAAGGCTGGCAGTTCAAACCCACCAGCCACTCCTCAGAAGGCAGATTAGGCAATCTACTTCTGTAGTGATACTGCCCAGAAACCCAAGGAGGGGTCACTATGAGTCGGATCCAACTCAATGACAGTGAGCTGATTTGTTGACTACGTACCACAATTTGGTTATGTAGTCTTCTGTTGATGAGCACCTATGTTGTTGCCATCTTTTGACTATTGTAAATAGTATTGCAATGAACATGGGTGTGCATATATCTATTCTTGTCCTGGCTCTCACTTCTTTAGAATATACGCCTAGTAATGGGATTGCTGAATAAAATGGTATTTCTAGGACTTCCAGAACACTTAATTGTGCTCATGAGGAACCAGTATATAGACCAGAAGCTGTTGTTCGAATAGAACAAGGGGATACTACATGGTGTAAAACCAGGAAGGGAGGGTGTCAGGGTTGTATCCTTTCACCATACTTATACAATCTATATTCTGCAAATAATCTGAGAAACTGGACTGTATGAAGAAGAGCGTGACATCAGGATTGGAGGAAGACTCATTAACAACCTGTGATATGCAGACGACACAACTTTTCTTGCTCAAAGTGAGGATGACTTTACTTACTGATAAAGATTAAAGACTACAGTCTGCAGTATGGATGACATTTCAACATAAAAGAAACAAAAACCCTCACAAATGGACCAATAAGCAGCATCACATAAATGGAGAAAAGATTAAAGTTGTCAAAAGACTTCATATTACTTGGTTCCACAATCAACACCCACAAAAGCAGGCATAAAAGAAACAGGCTAGTGGGGAAAAAAAAACCCTACTGAGTGATCACTATATTACAATGATTCTTAGATAAGAGGTGAATGGATAAATGGTGGTAGGTGAAAGGAAAGCCAAGGGAGAGTTGGAATGAGAGGTCCAAGGATAAGGAAATGGAAAAGTAGCAACAGGTATGAGTACAAGTACTGTACCCATACCGTGGAACATTATGCAAGCACTGAAAAGAATACAAAAACACAAACTCACTGCCATCCAGTCGGGTCCAACTCATAGCAACCCCTCTTAGGTTTCCGAGGCAGTATCACTACGAAAGTAGATTGCCCAATCTTCCTTCCGAGGATGCCTTAAGCACTCACTATCCCACCAGAGCTTGGGTATGTAATTATCGTCCTGGGAAATCTGGTAGCATAGTGCCTAAGGCATTCGACTGCTAACCAGAAGGCTGGCAGTTCAAACCTACCAGCCACTACTCGGAAGGAAGATTGGGCAATCTACTTCCGTAGAGATAAAGGAAACCCATGGAGCTCTAGGTATGATTCCAAT